GTGTATTTTAATAATGAAATGGAGATCTTGTTTAAAGGTTAAAACCCCATTTAATTTTATATCTCATAGAGTTTATACTGAGTACAATATTGTATAACTGTATTGAATCAACTGTAAACCTAAAAATTTACAGACAATTTTGAAAGAGATGCATCTTAGCTCTGGAAATTGTTATTGAATGTGTCAATGCTGTTGTCATGAAATGCTTCTTCTAATTATGTGGTTATTAAATAAATAATTCAAAAAAGACAAAAAAATAGGTTACTTACCATTGGAAGCTACATAAATTTATTTAAATCCTATGAAAATAATTTTGGTGCTCATTCTGAGGCAATAGATAATGTAACAAAAATATGATTTGAGGCAAGGAATTAGTCAAAATATTGAGAACATTAATGAGAATAATAAAAACTTCTATGTTATGAAAATAGCAATTAGACTTAAAGGTCTTGTCATCAAAGGCAATATTTGCTTACTGGTAACCTTAAAATCAATGCCTTTTCTTTGTATAGTTTTTACTCTAGGAAAATATATATTGTTTACTTTTATCTTAATTCCTTATCACAATGATTTTTAGAAATGAATGAGCTTCAATATAAAAATAATGGTAAAATTTCAAGAGAGAATAGAAACTTTCAAAACTCATAATCATACCATTTAAAATAGTATAATGAGTTTTTAAAATACTGTCACAAAAAAAAATCCAAAACCTTCTTTCAGTGAGTATTTTCAATGACAGTCCCCAAATCTCCTACCCATCCACCCCCCCCCCAAAAAAACCTCAAAGATTAGAATTTTAATTTAGTGGGAAGAGCCTTAATTTCATCTACTGGGTTTTACATTATCTGTAACAGACACAATGGCTGTGCCCTCCCCTGCCCCAGAGGAGGTCATGAAAACATGCTTTTGAAAAGTGACTTGGGGGCAGGCAGACTAGACTAACCAGCTCTGAGATTAAGAGAGATGAGAGGAGACGTGAATAAGTCTATTCTATCTTCATTTTCTTCCTCTTCCTCCTTTTATGTGAGAGGTGGATTTCTTGGTATGTGACCTTCTATTAAAGACTAAAGCAGTATTATCAGTAGTCTGAGAGGATATAGAAAAATAAACACAATGTCTCTGACTATACTCGCATAAAATAAGATATTGTGTCCTCTGGTGACCAAAATGTTATGCGAGGCTGCACTTGGCTAATCCCAGGGGGCGGGGTCCTGTAATACAGTTCAGTTTTCATGCTGCCTACCTGAAAATACTGTCAAATCTCACAGACTGAGAGTGTAATTCCACAACTCTGTGTCTCTCTTGCCTAACTTTGCACTTCCCCTCACTCTTCCCCCATGCCCAGGATTATTTGCAATCATTTCTATTATTTCTAAAAATAAACTTTTTTTTACAGAACTTGCCTTTCATTTTTTTTTTTTTTTTTTTAAGACTTATGTTTCCTCTTAATAGTTGTAAGACTCAAGTTTGGACTCAAATGTTGGGAGACAGGATTTTTTCATTGCTCCCTATTGTGTCTAGGCATAAGACCAGAGGTAATGAAAACCAGAAGATTTCCATTTGCTCTACTTTTACGGGCTCTTTTATAGGTTCAGTTTTAATTTTGTAAATGGGGTTACTGCATCTGAAAAAAAATGACGCCACGACAGGTCACAGCAGAGCATTTTCTACAGGGATGACTAATAACTCTCTTCTCTTTCTTTTCCAGTTACACCAGCTACCCTTGGCAAAGCATCCCGGTTTCTGCAAATAATTAATCCAGGCCTGAGGACAAGTAAGAATTTCTGTCATTTACTAACTCTCAGTGATGCTTTCCATGTGTCGGTGCATTTCGAGCTACTCTGCTTTATTTGGGATAGTGGTAACAGGAAAGTGACGGAGACGAAATTTCATAGACAGACAATGTGTTTTCAGGATTTACTTTCAATTTCTCTATAAAGCCACTTTTTCATCTTATTTTTCTTTTGCTTAAATGTTAAGTGTGGCCAAGTTAATGGGGGGGGGTAAGAAATTATTTATTGTGAATCAGCAAATATTTGTTGAATTTAGGAAATCGCTTCTTTTTACAAATCCTTTTTTACATTATGGTGACTACTACCATTTTAAAATATTTATATAATGCTTGCATTGCATTGGCAGAAGGTAAAATTTGTCTCTTCAACCAAATTGCCTTATGCTTCAAAATACTGCCTTAATATAAGTTTTTTATTCTCTTCCAAATGGCATTGTGAATCCTCTTGTCTTTGACAATGTCTTCTATATTCACAAGACTGAACTCAGTCAACTCAGAGCAACGCTGCCACAAATCCTCTAAGCCCAAACAGTTTTCTTGCTTTCTGTGCTATCATGGCATTTTGTTCATTGTTCTATAATTTTACCTCCTGGGATTTTGATTATCGTGTGTGTGTGTGTGTGTGTGTGTGTGTGTGTGTGTGTGTGTGTGTATGTGTCCCAGCTTTTTATTTAGGCACTGGAGATTCAAAGTCTTATCCTTATGCTTACACAGTAAGCACCTTATCACCTCCCTACCCCCAGTCCTGGCATTTTAGTGTTATATATTAGCACAGTGTATAGAACACAATGGATTCTATGGACTACAGAAACTTTAAGCCAAAGATCATGTTTTCTGCATTTTCTAAAGCCCTTATAGCACCTTTAATTTCCTGATCTCCTAGTAGTAGGTGCCTATTTGATTAAATTCTACGGATTTTTTTCCATATGAAGTACATACTAGAGTCCATTTCATACATATAGGGAAAAAGTATCCCTAATTTATTTTAAACTGTTGCTCTTAGTATTAGAAGTTATAGGGTCATAAAACCGTAATTTGGATCTTATGATTAAATTGTAAATATTTTATTTTGTTTTATGAATTTTAATTGAATTTTTGTATATTTCATACAGAACATCGTAATCATCTTTATATCCCCTTCCCCACTGGCCCCCTCCCATAACCCCCACACACTGGATTTCATGCATTCTGTCATTTGTGTTAAGGTCTATCATGTCAGATTAGCAAGTTAGTGTCCCCAGATGTCCCTCAGTGCAAGTTCATCCACTGAAGTCTAGTCAGCCTATCTAGAGTCCCTCCCTTTAAGAAGATCAGCTCTTCCTCACCCAATAATTCTTTGACTAAGATTGAGGTCTGCTGCCTATTTCCACAGTTCTGTGCTGGGTTTTTGTCTGCTTGAGTTTACATGAATCTTGTGCATGCTGACACCATTGCTGTAGGTTCATATTCACCAGGTCCCAGGAGCCTGTAGGACTGTATTTCCATATGGTCTTGCACCTACTCCCTGGCTCTGCAAAGTAAATTTTTAATGTGAGATTTAAACATCATTTCTTTGGAAATGACCCAAAGTAAGAATTGATACTACTTTTAATAAACGTCATCCATTTGTCATTTGTGCCAGATGACAAACCCTTTACAACTCTCCAGTTTTAAAAGGATCAAATATGTTAATCTGCTCTCTAAAACACAGGAGAGTTTAGATTTTTAAAAGAAAGAGAGAGAATAAAGGAAAAAAGGAAAGGAAAGGAAAAGGGAGGGAGGGAGGGAGGGAGGGAGGAAGGAAGGAAGGAAGGAAGGAAGGAAGGAAGGAAGGAAGGAAGGAAGGAAGGAAGGAAGGAAAAGAAAAGGTGGATGTTAAACACACATACACACAAAAATATTAAAACTCGAAAACTATAAAATTCTTCTGGAAGTCCAAGCTTTCCCTCATTTCTCAAGAATATGTCTGAAGGCTACCACTGTTTCTTGTGTTGAGTTTGTGGGGAAGAATGTGAAGATGCTGTTAAAACAGGACTAACACCTTGTCCCAAACAGTGGCACACACCAAAAGCAGCTAATGGAATCAAATTCGAAAGCATGGGGGAAAAAGTCAAGTCCAGTGCACTGAGAGAAGGCAGAATTGGGGCTAAACTAGTGGGAAGGAGATCTATATCAAGTCTCAAATATCATGCCAGAAATCCCCAATCCTAAGAGATTGTCCAAGATAGTCAAAATACTACATGGGAAGGGATCTGACATAAGTCTTTGAGTTATGTAGTTTCTTGTCTCAGTCTGGCCAGGATGTAGCACATGATGATTGTAGCATAAGTGGGTTGGCTTGGATGTTGATGAATAAACAGGAAGGAAGGAAAAGAAAAGGTGGCTGTCTGGTTATGTTTAAATTATCCAGCAAATTTTCATTCAATAGACCATATCACCTGTTGTTGCTTTCTGTAAGAAAACATGGAGGAATCATTTAAGAATGTTTTACTCATGCATCACATTGGAACCATTCTTTACACATATGCATTATACATTGTTCTCTGTTTTCTCTTCAACTGATAACATGATTTCTCCAAGCTATTTCTTTTGTCAAGTCTCAAGACCTTAGGAGCTTAACCATGTGCTTTATTGAAACCCAATGTCTAGATATGACAGATGAGTGCCCATCATTTGGCATTTGATGAGTTCCTGTTTGTAGTGAGTAAGAAGACTGACTCAGGTCTAGTAAATAGCATATTGTGACATCCTCACAGAAGGAAAGATCCTATCCCTTTCTACCTTTCTTTATCAAACATCTTCCTTCTGTCCTAGGGACGATTTGATAAAGCAACTCTTCTTATAGACAGTAGAAGGACCTCATTTTTTTCTAATGAAGCACATGAAAAGCTAGTGCTCAGCATGAAATGTGCAAAGAATACACAATTATAGTTACACATTTCCCATGTGCTTGGCCATAAACTCTGACCAAAGCAAAGCCCCATGAAAAGAAAAGAAAATCAAAACACTTTCTGGGATTTGGCAAACATTTAGGCCAACTGTGTAAGATTTTATTAAACACACAGAGAGAAGTTTTAAAATGATTATGGAGCTTTCTTAGGGAATATTTCTCATCATTTCAAAAATCTATCTTTTTAACTGAATTTTCCACATATTACTATAAAAGTGTGAAGTTTGTGATCTGGCATCCCATCCTCAAAATAAATATATTTTATATGTCCAACTACAACAAAATGTTAGATTTTTCACTGGCTTCTCTATGAAGCATTAAGTGCTCTAAAATTATCTGAGAACAAACATTCTGAACATAAACATTGACTGAGGTCAGAGTTAAGTTTTGTTAGAATTCCAAATGATTAGCAGATGAGACAGGCAAAGAAATGAATTCCTTAAATTTTTTAGAAACTCATAATTTCCTTTTACAGCCGTGAGCTGCTTTCACTTTTGAGTAAAAATACTTTTATGAGACAAAACCTTAATTCAGTGAACATCATTTTGCTTGTTGTGTCCTTGTGCATTCTCAAATGCTTTCCTGTTCTAGATGCCTAAGTTTTCCTTCTATCTCTTATTTTTCTTTATTCCAAGAGTCCCTGTTACCTATGGCCACATTCCTGCCTCCTTCTGATACAACAATTCCTCGGGATTAGTTCTCCTTTGTTTTCTAAGTTATAAGTAAATGCATTTCCTAGGTGTCTTAGTTTCTTTTCCTGCTGCTGTGATAAAAATACCCTGACAGAAGCAACTCAGGGGAGAGTTTGCTTCATCGCACAGTTTAAGGGTACAGTCCACCATGACAGAGAAGTCAAAGCAGCTGGTCACGTCACATCCACAGTCAGAAAGCAGACATCAATGAATGTGTGGCAGGTTAGCGTTCTCCTTGTTACACTATTCAGGACCCAAGCTCAGGGAACAGTGCAGCCTACTTTAAGTGTGAGTCTTCCCCGCCTCAACTAACCTAATGAAGATAATCTCTCACAGGTCTGTGAAGAGACTAAATAATCCCTCAGAGGTATGCCTGGAGGCTTGTCGCCAAAGTGATTTCTATCATTTTCAATGAATACTAGTACTAGGCATCCAAGAGATTTTACAGTGTGAATCTTATGTACTTTTGGAGCCTGTCTTCTTTCTGATCAACCTCTTATTTGCCATAGTTTTCTAGAGAAGCAGAACCAATCTTATACACATATATGCATATACATACATAGACGTAACTATAAAAGAAACCCTATTAGTTTAGAGACTGTATAATTCAACAGTGGCCATCTGCATGCTGTAGATTCAAAAAATCCAGTACCTGTTCAGTCTAAGTAGCTGGAAGCCTCAAAAGAAGGAGAATCAATAATGCAGTCCCAGGCCAGACCAGTGACCACCTGAAGACTCTCTTCACACCAGAAGACTGAAGAAGCTAGAGGCTGATGTCCACAGGTGATTATAGCCACAATAGATGCACTTACTCAGGGCCTGGAGAGGTGGCTCAGCAGTAAGAGCACATACTGCTCTTGCAGAGGACCTGAGCTCTGTTTCCAGCACCCATGTCCGGCAGCTCACCATGTCCAGCAGCTCACAGACCCTGTAACTCCAGCTCCAGGTGATTGTATGCTCTATTCTGGCCACTGAGGGTACTGCACTCATGTGCATATACTCATATACAGACACGAATTACACACATAATTTAAAATTTTCAAAAACTTTTAGTTGCACTCACTCAGAAAGGGAGTAGCTTACATGCACCAGTTGGTTTTCTTCTTCTTTCAACTTCATTCCACTTTCAGGGCAGCTCTTCTTCCCTTAGTTGCTGTCCTACATGTCAGTCCTCTCTAGAAATACCTTCACATACACATCCAAAAGTGTAGTAAGCTCTTAGGTATCTCTAGTCTGATAGAGTTGAGGATCACAGTAAGCCACCACCACTCTCATACTTCTGTTTCCTGAATTGTGTCATCATACCTCCTGTACCAGAATTTGCTTCCTCTTTCCTCCTGCTATGGGACAATCCTTCATGG